GAAATTAGGTACATCATCACGCCTCATATATAAATTTATGTCCTGACGCATAAACAAACAAAAAGAAAAAAGACTTTTGTGGCTTTTTTGGAAACATCCTTAATGTGTAGATGTCTAGGGTACGTTTTATGTAATGCTCCTTTTTTGTCCATGATTATATCGACCACGCATACGGCACCAATAAATGTATGATTATTTTTTTCATTTTGCAAGTTATATGTTTGTTTGACGACCTCCGTGGCCGAGTGGTTTGTACGCCGGGTTTCATGGTGTCGCCGACCCGAGAGGTCCCGGGTTCAAATCCCGGTGGGGGCAGATGTTTGTGTGATGAATACGAGCATTTGTACTCCAGTCATGGATGTTTAATATGTATTTCTATATAAATATACTTATATATGTACAGTATATGTATTCTATCCGTTACCCTAGCATCCCATAACACAAGCCTTACAGTGCTTACTTTGGGGCTAGGCTAATTGGTGTGAGTGTTGAAAATATTTATTTATTTATTATTTATATATCTCCCCCTGTCGCCCTCCTGTTGACCAGCAATCAGAATTGGTTTACAAAATAGGCAAAAGCTAGTTTTTTTTAAATCTTTCCCAATCATTAGTCTTTGCTGAGATTCGAGAATTAAATACATACTTAATCTCGTTCCATTTCCAGGCTATTTTTACAGAAAAAAGCAGATGTCACTTTAATACAAATCTTTTTTTATCTTTATCCTGGTATTTCTATAAGTAGTAGTTATTATTTAAAATAAAGGTTCACTGCGTAAATTACAGTAAACCATATTGGTCAAATGACACTTACCGTCATTTTTGGTAAGACAATTTTTCCGTCTTTCTAGTGTTAAAAGATAATTTAATAGAGAGAGATCACATAAAAGAATAATCGCGGAATCTCGTATTAGCTTAATGCCATTATTACCATTGCGGGGAAAGCCTCCTCTCAACAGTGTGAGGACATGAGACAGAAAATATTATTTATGTCACAGCTTCACCTTTTATTTAATAAATCAACGGGCGTTTATTACTATTTTTTTCATTATTCTTGACGTTCTTTATTCTTTATTGCATGCCACAGATAGTACAAAAAACAACATTATCATAACCTGTTACGTACGTTATATATATACGTTTCGGATCCTCTGGCTTCAAAGTCCCGAATCAAATTTAAATACTCATTGTATTAATGCCTTATTCTATCTTTTCTTTGATTTAAAACAAAAAGATTGAATTATGTGTTAAAAAAACCTCTTAATTATAATTTGCATCTCTTTTCTTTTTGTTTGTGTTTGTTTTGTTATTGCTGTAAGTCCTCGGTTAAAAATGTAATAAATAAATAAATGTCTCACAGACAGACGTCGCCTGCGGTGGCGGCCAGTTGGGTTCGCTTCCAATGTAAGAGAGTATTCAAACACAAATGCCCATGACGCGGACTGTGCATAGCTGCCCACCGGCCTCACCCCTTTCGCTAACGCATATCTGCGGCCTGAGGTTCGTTCATACAAATACAGTAAAACCCGTTTAAGACGATTTCACAGGGATTCAACCAAAAACACGTCTTAAGCGGGATAGCGTATTATGCGGGATAGGCAAATTTCGAATGTAGGTATTGAGGTGTTAATTGTATAATATCTAAGAATTATGTATGTTACAAAAATGTAGCGTATTATTATTTATTATTACGTTGTTTAAATTAATAACTTATTTTAGTTTACCAAAAACATTTTGAAGCAATTACAAGATTTTAACATGTCTTCGATTTGATTTAAAGAAATTAAATAGTGTCTTAAATCATTAACTGCTGATAATTCCTGGGCGTGTGACAAAATCGGAGTTGACTCATCTTCTTCTTGATCATTATCACTTACTTAATGCCTCTTCTTGTGTGTTATTCACATTGTCATTGTATTTTATTCTGCCGCAAGAGGTAATATGTATGGTATTTGTTGGCGATTTAGACGTATTAAACGGGATGTCGAATCGTATTAAGCGTTAAAAACGTATGAAAACATGTCTCAAGTTGGAGGGACTGACGCAAAATGGCGTATTATGCGAGAAATCGTATTAAACGTGATCGTACTGTAGTTACAAATAGGTAGCACAACGAATGACGCTTCAGGCCTCCAGCCACTGTCGCGACGGCCAACGCCGAGAGTCTGTGACACCAAACAGGATTAAGCCTTAATTTGAATTAAGACCGTTGGTGCAAGTGGCCCTAAATCTTGTACAAACCCCTTCATCAGACTCGCACATGGCTACCAGATGGCCGCACGTTTTCTTTCACAAATCTAGCGAAAAGCTAAGCCATGAAACAAACAGACTTACGGAGAAATCATTTATGCTGCAAGTTGTGTCCAATCTGTGAATTTTCTAAACAACATTTTGCTCTAGACACTACCGATGCGAAATAGTAGAGCGTCTGTTGAAAGTGTTATTTGAAAAAACGCAAACTTCTCTTTTCCTTATTTGTACCTCTTTAAGGATTTAAGCACTTACTTTAATTAAAACACTTGGTCTCTTTATTGGATTTTAGTAAACTTCACTCTACCCGGATTTACATGGAATGGCTAATCTGTATTTTCAGATTCGTTGTCTGGAGAATGTTGCGTTAATTTTATTCATAACACTTGCGAGGTCGCGAACTTTTTTCTTTCAAGTAAAGGCAAAAAAGTCTCATTCCAACTTAAGAAATGAAATGAACCAAAAACACAGTTCAAGCATTTTCTTTTTTATTAACGAGAGAGCCTTTGATTCTAAACAGTTGCTTCTAATAATCAAAAATAGTTGGACTTTGACCAATGGCATTACATAATGAAGAGACGTATTGCATTTACCCCAGTTGGGCGCATTACAAGCGATATGCTGAGATAGCTTGCGTCTCTAAGCTTGGCATTGAACGAGAATCTTTGTAGTGTATGCTTAGCCTGACCCATTCGTCACAGTCATATATAAAAGTACAGAGCCCATATTACTGTAGTTTATTTTAAATCAAAATCGCCAAAGTTTGCGCGAGCGGGTTAGCTGCTTTTTGATTGGACATGTCAGTGGACGTCTCTGTCGGATAACAAATTTTGTGAAACGACGTATTGCCGCTGGCCGACGTCTGGAGGCGTGTCACCCGCATATGTTACAATAGGTATTACCAATACTTGGCACATACGAGTAACCTTCTTACCTTGTATGCGGACTCTAATAGGGGTGCTCTGTATATACAGGTCAAGAACCCTTTCCCTAATCTGGTCTGGTGCTGTCACATACCTTTGTAAGCAGAGGCGTCTCTGAACCTTGTACCGCTCGAGTGCAATCATTAAAGTAGCGCCATCTAGTAAGCGCACGGTCAAAAAGTAAACGTGGCGAGTGACGCTTAGCGCCTCCTGATACCGCTACGACCTTTTTTTTAAGTGTGTATGCTGTTCGTCGCAGATGACCTTTACAACATCGCCACGTTTGAAGACGGCGAGATCCTAAGGGGACCTCAAGCCGAGATTTGGCGAGTGCCTGAGGTATTCCAGGTGGCTGGCATCTCCTCTCCGGGGGGGAGTCTCCTCTCCGTCTGGAGCCTATAGACCACTCGAACCTGAGGGGGTCGGCTCAACTAGAAGGCGTCTCTGAGACTCGGACCTCGGCTCTAGTTAGCCGTTGTCGTGGGGGGACCGCTACGACCGTGTGCAACGCACACCCTGCACCATAGCTTAGGCAGCCTGCTTAGCTACGTGTTTTTACCCTACCCTGATAGATGCTGAGCGTATGTGGAGTCCAGTAGAGAAGATAACCGGTGCGGCAGAAAATTGTAGGTACCGCTTCTACCATCCTCACCTTGCCAGTCAGGGTCTATCCCCTAACTCGTGGGGTCATAGGTCGTTGCAGACATATCAACTCGGGTAAGAATCGTCACCGTATCAAATCGAGCCTTTCAGTATTCTTTGTATAAAACTCCTTACTGCAACGCACACTAATCAGAAACATTTCGTAATCGCCTCGCCTAGGGACACTCGGTAATAAACCAATACAACGCCATCAAAAGCGAGCATTATTTCTTTTTGTATGTTGGGGGTTACCTAACTCAGACAGGCGCTCTCATTGAAGCGGGAAATCCGCTTAAGACGACTAGGTTCATGCGAGCGAGTTGCGATTTTATTAGCCTTAATATTTTCAGAAGTAAATTTTAAAATGTATTTTGTGTACTACATAAAAGAGTAAGTAATGTTAAACGTTACGTTAATTTACGAAAAGAAACGTTAATTTCTAAAAAAATTAAAGAAACCTCAAAATCCAGCCAAGTGTAAGGTGGACTCGCTTACGAATGGTTCCGTACCTAATATTTGTTATACAAACTGTAATATAACTTCGATAAAAAAACATGATTCCTTAATTTTTCATATTAATATTTTTTGTCTTTATAAAGGCAATAAAAAATCCCATTGTGGGTTTTACTATCTACCTAATGACTGTTCAAGAGTCAGTCAGTCAGTACAGTCCATTAACAGACGGACAGCAGAGGCGGGGAACCCTAAATTTAAAATTCACTCTAATATTCCTTTAATCCCCCCGCCCTCAATACCCTTTTTTGACATAGACCACACATCCAACAATTAAGTTCAGAAACGTGATATCTTTGGAAAGCAATGAAACTTTATCTCATGACATCTTCAACTATTTCCTTTGTTAGAGGCTAGACTTGTTTGTAGTGAGGCATTCTACTGTGTATCAAATGTATGAAATGATGAGGTATAGAGTAACAGACATTTATATATCTTAGAACTCAATAAAGTAGGTTTAAAGCAGAAGAAATTGGCATACCGTTTTTTTTTCAAAACGTGCGTTCAACACAAAGACATTTGCCTAAACTTTTTACAATAAGGTTTTGCACAAATTGCACTAGTTTTTCTTAATATTTAATATTTTTATAATTTATTAAAGTTTTGAAAAGTAAAATATTTGTCATTACAAATCTTGGAAATAATAAAACAGTGAACAACCACCAAAACTTACCTCAGAAAAAACTCAACATGATGAATGAAAAATAGTTCACAGAAAAATGTCAGAAAAGAAAAAAAACTTCCTCACCCACCCACTTTTTAACCATACAAATTACAAGTCAACACTAGTTTTAGGGAGCGCGAGTCGCAAGCGTGCGCCTCGCACGGCGCTCTTCACAGCACTGACCGACTGGTTGACTGAAACTGAAGGCCTGAAACGATGCAGTAGCCCGCGCGAGGGTTATTTCAGCGCAGGTTCCGAAATGCACACACACACAACTTTTGGCTTGAAGGCTCGAACTAAATCCACAGACAAGATGCTTTTGGAATTGTTTTTATTATATCGGTATAGACTATAAATGTGAACATATCTGAACGTATAAGTTTCAGCCATCTGCCCTGAAACTCTGTACATACACACTTTTCACTTATTTGGTGTTTTTTTTTTATAATAAGGTAGGCAAATGACTCTACCCCACCTGATGTTAAGTGCTGACAAAGTCCAAACGCTAAGATAACTGGTACAGAAGTTATAAAAGTTATTTGAAACGCGAATGTTCAATTTGGGATACTTCTTTACAAATTACAATTGCTACGCTTCACGCATTTATGCATTAAAATTCTTCTCCTAATTCATTGTACCATATGTGTGATTTTTATAAAAAAAAAAAACTTATAACAAAAAATATAAACCAGCGAAGGGCAAAAAATAAACCTTTTTTATCTTTGGTCAAATCTTTATTTGAGTCGGTGCAATGCCCAAACCAAGTAGTAAATAGGACCTTGGATCTATTAGCATAGCACCTACTCCAAATATTAATTTGACTAACGATAAAAAAAAAGTTTATTATTTTTTTTTTGTTAAAACGTTTATATTTTACAATTTGTTGAATATACAACTCGGCATTAAAATCTATGAGTCAACTCCTATTTCCCCCTCCTTAGGGTAGGATTTTTGTTTCCAAATTCATCTAGGATCCTTTGAAAACTTTGAGTTATACGCTATCTAACAAAACCCTGCCAAGTGGGTGTCATGCCAAGCGCAGTGTAGGGTTCGGTAGATATTTTATTTTTTATTAAAATTAAACCAATTTTTTTTTCCTACCACTCGTTTTTGGACATATTTTTTAGCTGCGCAGAAAAACTAGCGAAAGAAACTCCACAACATTAAAAGAATAATGTAACAACATTTACAAATTATTATGTTGTTGCAACGTCAAAACAATCATGATTTATTTAATACCTCGCATGTTTATAGTCAAATGCACCGATTGTATATCACGCCACAAATAAGAGCTTTTCAGGCAAGCCCTAACCTCATCAGCTCGGGTTCCCCGTGGTATTACCGGTAAGGTTTTTCGGAAATCACCACAAAATAAAACTGTGATACCGCCCATTGGTCGATCATTTTGAAGACAAAATAAGGGATATAAGAATATCCCTTAAAGTTCTGTCTACCGCTTCTACTCCTTTTCGATGGGCTATCCCATATGATTAAATTACACTTTGAACGAATATTTATACACTACCAAAACAACTAATACGTGGTCCTAACTTTAGCTACCTTACACTTAAAATCTAAGTGACTATTTACACTAAAATATTCTTATAGAATTATGACCAGAAATATATCAGGAGCGACGCAGAAAACAGATTTAGACAGCTCGCTTTCGGACCGCCGCCGCGACCCGTGTCGAGCGGCAACCGTTACACAAAAATAATCCTTATAGCATGATTCAGTATTCACGTGCGACGGCGCGATGGCTTCGAAAATTCTCACGTCAAAATATCTGCTTTTTTAAAAAAGTTGGGGTGTTTTTTGTTTGTTAAAATCTCTACTTTCTGATGGTATAAAAAAATATACGCTACTATGATAAATGTTCTCAGAAAATGCAAATTAATAATGAAAAAAACTCGAATCCGAAAATCCTATTTTTAATACCTACTTACAACTATTTTTGCATGTTTTATGGATTTGTAATTTTTCTGTTTATCAATATAACATGAAATCTTACGTTTTTCGAGTAATTAAATTGTAAATTTTAATAAATAGTTCAAAATTATTCATCATGATTCAAATCAATTTTTCGGATTGGAGTTTTTTTCATTATTAATTTGCAGTTTCTGAGAACATTTACCATAGTAGTGTATTTATTTTTTATCCCATCAGAAAGTAGAGATTTCAACAAACAAAAAACACCCCAACTTTTTTAAAAAAGCAGATATTTTGACGTGAGAATTTTCGATTGAAAATAAGGGTGCTTTTTCGATATTAAGTCAAAATAAGGTGAAAAAATGAATGTTTTAAATCAAAAAAATTACTGTATGTTTAGGACATACAAAGGTAAGCTTTCACCAAATTTCGTGAAAAAGTATTTTTTTTGCAAAAAATAAAAATCAAAAACCAAAAACTCGGTTATTCGCATTTTTCACATAAATTTTGAGGTTATGTGAAAAAAGTGTCGCTACAAAAGTTGTAGATCTTTTTATTACCTACAACTTTGCCATTTATTTATTTTTCATAGGACTTGCAGTTTTACCGGAAATCGAGATTAACCATTTTTACCCTTAAAAACTCATCCCCTCCCCCTTCCCGACCTCACATCGCCCGTAATTTATTTTTCCTTTCATTTTTGTTATATTCTCTACCTTTTCTAATGGGTTTCATCCTACTATATTTTTTTTTGGTCTCAAAAATTATCGACCCTGGTCTATTAATTAAGTAATAAATTATAAACACTGAACCAGTGGATTACCTTAGAGATATAATGTATTGTTATCTTTAAGGTTTCAATTGTTTGGTTATAAGTTAGGTTTGTTTTGCTGACTTCTAGCTTCGCAATGGAAAACTCTAGAATAACTGAAATAAATTTGAATCATTTGGCAGCGTCTTTGTCAGCCATCTTCAGCAAGTTGACTTTTAATACGCCAAAGACAGAGTTACGTTTAACGTTGAGTGATTCTAGTTCTATTAACTATTGGTCAAGGTATAAAATTCTGGCGTTGATTCTGGCTATAAGAGGTGTCCAAATGGTTGACTTGTTTAACCAGATGGCTGCGGCATATATATACTTAATCTCTCCCCTGGAGAAGAGGTCGTAGCACAACAGCGTCATACATGGCATTACTTTTCCGATGAAAACATTTTTAGACAAAAAATAAAGCAACTTCAAAATCGAAAATGAAACTAAAAAGTAAAAAGATATATCTGGTTCATGATTTGAAAGTCGGGCGGGGTCAAGATTGAAAGACGTATTATTACCGATCAGAAACGAAAATCTATTTAATTTTTCAATCATGACCCCGCCCGACTTCCAAATCATGAACCAGATATATTTTTTTACTGTTTAGTTCCATTTTCGATTTTGAAGTCGGTTATTTTTTGTTTATTTTTTTTTTATTTCATCCATTTTAGTGAAAATTACATAGTCCAAGTAAACAATAAGCAAAAATGCTCATTAAATAAAAACTACTGGATCAAAAAAATATTTTTTATGGAACCAAACGGCAAGTATCTCCAATTTAACAAAAGAAGACACTCAAATTGGACCAGAAATCTTTAAGTAATCTGAGTACATAACAAAGTGTGGTGAAAATTATATCGTCCAAGTAATAATAATTTTTATAAGAAGGTTTCCCTCGATTTTACAGAAATCGAGATCAAGGGGGACGCATTGGCGGTCGGTCTGGATATCGCGAAGGCCTTCGATCGGGTTTGGCACAAAGCGATTCTTTCGAAGCTTCCTTTTTATGGGCTTCCTGAAAAGCTGTGCGTTTGGATCACTAGCTTTCTTGCGGACAGGAGCATCAAGGTCGCAGTTGACGGTGCATGCTCGGACTCTAAATCCGTAAACGCTGGTGTTCCACAAGGCTGTGTGCTATCGCCTACGCTGTTTCTTCTTCATATCAATGATATGCTTCAAATTGATGGCATTCAATGCTATGCAGACGACAGCACGGGTGATGCCCTATATACCGGCCGCGGCAACATTTCCCGGGAAAACGTCATCGAGTGCCGGAACAAACTTGTGTCTGAAGTCGAAACTTTGTTAAACCGAGTAACGAATTGGGGCCGACTTAATCTAGTCCAATTTAACCCTACGAAGACACAAGTATGCGCGTTCACCGCAAAAAAAATACCATTTATCGTATCTCCTCTTTTTGAGAACACTCCTCTAACTGCCTCAGCTAGTATTGGAATTCTTGGCGTTGACATATCGAGCGACGTCCAGTTTCGGGATCATTTAGAGGGCAAGGCCAAATTGGCCTCTAAGAAGCTTGGTGTGCTCAATAGATCGAGAATGTACTTCACACCGGCCCACCGACTGCTCTCATCTTTAGGCGGTGTCACCCCAGTACCAGCTTCTCCCTTTGGATCGCATCCAGCGCCGAGCGGCTCGAATCGTCGACCACCAGGACCTTTCCGATCAGCTTGATCCTTTGGCTTTGCGTAGGGATGTAGCTTCGCTCTGCATCTTCTATCGCATTTATCCCGGGGAGTGTTCTGAGGAATTGTTCGGATTAATTCCAGCTGCTGCATTTCGCCATCGTACATCGCGACAAAAATTTCATCCCCATCATCTTGATGCGTGGCTATCCACAACCGTGCGTTTTTGTCGAAATTTTTGACCATTACGACAAAACTGTGGAATATGTTATCGCCAGCAGTGTTTCCGGACCAATACGACCCAAGCACCTTCAAAAAAAGAGTGTACTCCTTCCTTAAAGGCCGGCATCGCATTTGTGACACTCCTGGTGCTGCAAGTATCCATAGGCGACGGTGATCACTTACCATCAGGTGAGCCGTCTGCTCGTATGCCCCCTATAACATAAAAAAAAACCACCATCAGATCCTGAATCCAATGACATTACGTCGAAAGTGCACTCCTTCGAATAAAAAATAATTTTGGAAATCGGTCCACAATTGACGCAGAAATTGTTCCCTAAGATATGGTTGAGCGAAGCGATGGCTCCCTCATGCGTCATGCTCGTAAACGGGTGCTGCCAGCGGAGATGAGTCTGCCCTAACTTCCTTGATATTAAAGATGTTAATCGTAAGTTACACTTAATATAAATAACACTATTTGTAAATATATACTATATTTTTTTTATGTTATAGGGGGCATACGAGCAGACGGCTCACCTGATGGTAAGTGTTCACCGTCACCCATGGA